TAAAAGGTGACTAGTCTGGTCAATAATAATCGTATAGAATGTTCGGATACAATAATATTACTGACGGTTCTAAAGACCAAGACGGAAATACGGGCGCAGGATGAGCTATCACTAGGGGTGACATGACTCTAATCATCACTGGCGTCATTAAAAATCGAGGCATCAGTATTTCAGACTGAGTATTCGCCATTTCAAGATCTGTGGAAGACCTTCTGAAAAAAAAATCAAAAGGAATATGTTGTACGATTCCGACTCTCAATCGGCAATTGCGGCTCTCCCAATCCACTCACGAGAGCTACATAGTCAAAGAATGTTAAAGAACTTTGATAAGAGCAAAAAAGGAGAAAAACATATACCTTGAATGGTGTAAAGGTCACAGTGACATAACTGGAAATGAATTTTGCCGATTACCTTGCAAAAGGGGCGGTGAGATCAAAATCAAATATTCACCGAGGTACCGCCGAGCCACGCGAAGCAGGCAGTAGATAGTTTGTTTATCAAGGTGGAGAAGCCGTCCAAAAAACAGCGTAAATATGAAGCACACTCGCTCTAATGTTGAAACTCCTCACATCACGATCAAATTTCGACCAAGAGAATATGAAACTACTGTTCAAGCATCACTGACCTGGACCTTTTCTCTCGCACTTGAGTTAAATTGAAGAACATCAGTCCAATTTTGCGATTCTGCACGGAAGAATCGCAGACTGCAGATCACATCATTAAAAAAAACAGCTACTGCTTGTCCTATGAGAGGCAGGAAGTTTCTCAGAGGAGGACGAAAACATTGAATAATTAAATTATGCAATGTAAAATAATAAAAAATATTATTGTAAATAATTAGTATTTAAGGTAAGAATTAGTATACGTACATAGGTATTCTTATTATTATTGTAACATAGATACCCCGTAGTGGGTTGTGTTCTCTCTTTAGTGTGATATTTAATGGTATTAAATCTTATGTAAAATCATAAAACAGTTGCCTAATGCACTGAAATATTAATATTGTTGTGAAAATAAGTAAAAATTTAGTCGTGAATGCAATTATTTAATGGATTTGATGATGAGATCCGAAACCCCGGTATGACGTCAATTTTATTAATGTCAAAGCGACATCTGCTGGACAAAAAAAAAAAAGAGACTCAATGAAACTCTTTCCAAGCTACTTGCCCGATACGCTACTCTTCTTTAAAGCTTTATCATACTGAATGTGTATTTCATTATAGGAATTATTTATATACAAATAGTATTCATTTCGTCCGGGGGGTTCGATGTCATTCATCACATCAATTTACATAATTGCATTCACTACTAATATTTTTAACTTATGTTCACAACAAAAATTATATTTCAGTGCATTAGCAACTGTTTTATGATTTTAAATAAGATTTTACTTGAATGTTCTATTTCACATCTTATGTTGAGTTCCATATTAAGTAATCCGAAGTCCCTGGATGTTATTGCCCTGGTTTTATATTATTTATATTCTTTAAGGTTGTTATTTAGACTGCTCAAGTGATAAAAAAATATCCTTCTTTCTCTTTGTTGTTTCATCTAAAGCGTTAAAGTAAAGTAGCTCATGCATACATAAAAATTCTTCCTTTTTCCCTAAAGGAATTGGCAAAATTTTAGTTCTTCTTTAGTCCGTAAGGGGCGCTGCTTTTTACTAGAGTTCTTGAAAATAATACAAAGTCCTTTTATTATTATCTAGCACAATGTTGTAGGGATTTGATATATTTCAAATCACAAACTTAATCCTTTTAAAACGGTTTTAAATAGGATTGTGATGCCATTTATGGACTAGGCATATAATGGTAAAGAAATAACCAAATTTTAGCCTATTTTTTTGGTTACCTTTTCCTTGCATGCGCCACTTTAACGCTTTAGTTTCATCGACTTTTAGAACATATATTTCGTCAATAGAGATACACAAAATGGCTGTCATCGAGCCTTTTGTCCCATCTTTTATTAAGCCTTTTGTACATTAAGATATTATATAGGAATCTATCTGATTAAACGTATGTGCTTGCAAAATTCATTATGTGTAATGAAAGGAGGATAATCCATGCCGCTGTCATGCAGCTCTTTCCAATAACCTATATATATAGGACCTCCCAAAAACCCCACTGTTTTAGTTTTTTTACATATACCCAGCGACTCTGGTTCATGTTTTTGATGTTAAAAACGATATCTAAATTAAAATTTTCTATCATTGTTAGAAATTGGACGTCACTGGGTTTCAAAGGTTTCGTTATGAAGCAAAACTTTTTTGTTATTACTTATTTTGAAAGAAACTGTTATATCAAATTAGCTATGATCAATTTATGACTTTGGATTATTTTTTTATTTTATTTATTAGTCCAGAGTTTGAAAATACATACAAAGAAAAATATGCACTAAAACTGAGGTAAACGTCAAAAATGTAACATGGCTAAACGTATTTAAAAATATTTTTGCACATTTAATTGTAATAGATATAAAAAAGGAGAAAGATCATAAAACATAAAAAAAATTCGGGTAAATCTAGAAAATCCTAGATATTAACTATTTAAAAAATACAACTTTAAGAGATGTTGGGTTTATATTTAGTGTTCGCTTTTGCCTCTGTCGTTATTCAGCTCCTCCAGAATAAAGCTTCCGGTCTAAAAGACCTTCATCCAACATGGGAGTTTTGAAGAGCTAGTTTCTCGCTGCATAAATAATTCGCGGGCTGCAACATATAGCTCCTCTATTTTCCAGTGATTGGGGACGTTCGGGAGAGGAGAAGATGAGCCAATCTGCTCGAGAGAGCTTTAATCGAACGCAGTGTTTACTCGCCTCTGAGTCAGCTCTACCAGTGGAGCCACTTTGAACAGTCTGCGAACAAATGACTCGATGTCTCTATTCCATTATTGCAGAATACACATCTTCTTTTCCTCGGATCTTCCTGTGTTTACTCACAAATAGGACGGAGTTGCCAGCCTGTAGCGGAACCACTTATCGGCAGAGCTCAAAAGGGTCCTGAAGAGGTTTCTGGATCCGTAGAACAACTGTGCTTGGAGAAAGTCCCAACCTCTCGAAACGTCGCCGGACAAGCGCTCTGGGAGATTCATACGAAAAGATTATTTACCGATCTATTAATTTTTGAAAGAATACCCCGATGGCGATGAAGAAAGGTGTTGGAGGGTCAGTTGTGTTTGTATATGGCCTTTGGGCAAAGTTTGTACCCATTCGTATTGTAAAAATGTTTTAGGATTCGCCAACCCCTCCTTATCTCTCAGGACTTGGTCTACCGTAGTATATGGCCCAGGAAAAGAATTCCTCCCTTGTTGACTTTGGATTTTGTTTGCAAATTTTCGTCAAATAATATTTAGTGCCAATAAATGAACATAAGTGCGGACGCACCAACCATTTTTTAAATAACAGCTCCTACTAGGGGTTTTTTATAGTTTCAAGAAGGAAAAAGAAAAGAGGGTATCATGTTATGTTTTTAAGTCAATCTTTGAAATGTTTTGTCTTTGGATTTTTATTTGTAATTTGATTTTTTTTCTCGTATAAATATGTTGACATATATTTTATGTATTGTCGGTGTTGTTTTAACTTCGGACTTTCTTAACAATCTAAACATATTCTTTAATACAAAGGATTGATTGTGTTTAATATCGAGTGTTAAACAAACTTTTTTGACTATTTGGCTAAAGATTGTAAGAAAGAAATAAAGTAAAGTAAATATACGTTTCCCCCACAACTCTTTTTCTGGCAAAAATACTTAGAATTAAAGAACGGGAGATTGCCGTAATCAGTAAATTAAAAATTTAATTGCCTTCCCATTCTTTGTTGTTGTTTTTTTACATGCAGGGGTTTTATTTATATAATGTATATAATCAAATAAAGATCTTCACATACACATATGTGTCTCCTTTCTTGACCAGTGGAAGGTCGCATAAGATTGTAATAAGGAAAGTATCGTTTCCATTAAAACTTCTGCACTATTACTTTCCAAACCACGTTTGGACATGGTTAAGTTAAGGTTGGTAATAGACCTGTATATAGTGGCTTAGTGGTCTAGGGTATGATTCCTTGCTTTGGGTGCAGGAGGTCCCGGGTTCAAAATCCCGGCTGAGCCCACGTTTAGATTGAAAACAATTCAAAGGAAAACATACATGGACATGGACATCTTTTGTTGGTTTTTATATTATCTGTTAATGTAATATTCGATTAATTGAACAAGAAAACGTTTCGTTATTAAGAAAATATATTTCGTAGACTTCTTGTTCCCACCAATAGAATTAGAATTGTTTAAAATACATATTTTTCCTTAGATGATCATTTAAACGCCTTCATATTGCAACAGTATTCAGTTGGAAAATACCATGAGCCCAATCTGGCGTGTCTGCGAAGAACTGCTGAATTTCCGTACCACCTCATCTTTGATAATCCACCTACGAGACAAAAAAGACACGCTCCTTAAAAAGTGAACCTTAAAGAATTTAATTTCAAGGTAACAAGTATTTAGGTACTTGTTGAATAATAAAGATCATAATAACTTCAAGAGAGGTACAGAAGCAGCCGCTATCGTATTGCGCGCGCGGTATCAATGATGGGCCCCCTTCTGCAGATAAAACAATAACCGTATTAGTGTATTCTTCAGCCTTAATCAAGGGACTCAACGATAATATGATTAAATTATATGGAACACCATTATCTGATTAAAAGCCTTGGCACAACAGACAAACATCGCCCTCAAGGTAGTAAATATACCAATGAAATGGAGAAATATAGACGAGATGAAGAGTCTATATTGCCTTCTAAATTATGTAAAGAACGACATTCAACTTTGGTATAATTGTGCATTACAAGTTTTTATTCTTATGGACTCGTGAAGCAAATCAATCTCGAAAAGTACTTCATTGCACCTCTAATTCATAAAACAACACACGAGTCTTTGTAGACAAAGTTGAACAACAATGCATTGTTTGAATTTAATATAAGATTTATACATAGAGATATAAACATATAGAGAGCTTATTCCCTCCAATTAGCAGAGAAACATCGTTCAGCTGTATTCAGGACACAATGACGTATTTCTCTTCCCTCCAATTCAGAGAAACATCGGTCAGCTGTATTCTTGACACAATGACGTATTTCTCTGACGAATCCAATAAGCTCTCTATATCTTTATATCTGAATGGATTTATATAGAATGGACTATCTGCTCCATTGCAAAAATATAGCTTTTTGAAGTATCTTTACCACATCCAACATGAGTTTATCATAAGAAACATTCATATTTAGGAGTGGATTTTTTCTTGTTTCTTTGATGTTTCGACTTGGGTATAAATAATTAATTATACGGACATTTTGTTCCTCCTTCAGGAGTTTATTCAAAGTATGTAGAACTAAACTTCAAGGGAAGAAATCCGTGAGAAAAATAAGAATACATTATTCTTCTTAAAATGTTTTGTTAGAGTCCTTAAGGGATAAGCATGGAATGAGAGGATTATCAGTTAGATTCGTCTGGATGATTTATATTGATAAGGGTTTAAACCATAGAGATATAAGCGAATCTATGTTTTATGGACTCGTCAGATAAATACGCATTGTATTTATAGCGAACGATGTTTTTCTGTATTGGAGGGAAGAGAAATACGTCATTGTGTTATGTTTATATCTGAATGATTCTATCTCTATGATAAGCTTACGATGACGTAGTATCAATTACTTTGTTTATAGTGGACACACATAATCAGCTGAGCGATGTTTTTCTGCTATTGAAGGGAATCAGCTCTCTATATCTTTATATCTCTATGGTTTAAACTGATACAAATATATTATTAGAGTATAAAGTATTGTTCTTTTGCTATTATAAATATCATCAGAATGCTCTAAGGGAACTAAATCTGTAACTTTTAATGAAATACAATTGAGTTAGTAGACGGAATCTGATTTCTAACTATTTACTTTATTCCACATACATTTTAATTTATCTGACAAATAAAAAGCATGTCTTAGATAAATTTATATTTGTTCGATTGTATATGTATATAATTGCAAAGGTAAGGGATTTGATGGTATCATTGGTTCACCATGAAAAGGAGGTCACACTGGGACTTTTTCCTTAACGTGATTGGTTGAACGAAAAAATAGAAACATAAATAAAACTCAAGGACATCACTTCCATAGAGATATAGAGAGCTGATTCCCTTCAATAGCAGAGAAACATCGTTAGCTGATTCTGTGTGTCCACTAGAAACAAAGTAATTTAATGCTACGTCCAATCGAAGCTGATCATAGAGATATAAACATAACACAATGACGTCTTTATCTTCCCTCCAATAGCAGAGAAACATCGTTCAGCTATATTCTTGACACAATGACGTATGTCTCTGACGAGTCCAATAAGCTCTGTATATCTTTATATCTCTATGATCACTTCACTCGCGGCTGTGGAGGTGTGATTATCAAGTCAGATATTAAAATATCACCTTAAAAAAACAAAGCGTCATTTCTTATGAGCCTTGGTCCAAAGCTTTTAGGAGTCCTGTGAAGATATTTTTCCAATATTACCTAATAATATTTATTTTCATACTTTATACACACTTCATTTGTTAAATCACTAAGGACTAGATCTTACTTCGACGATAAGATTTAGAGGACAGAAAACTGAATATATATTTTGAAGGGAGTGCGATCGCCGTGGCAACTCTCAATGTTGGAGGCGCAGGTTCGAATACTCCCGAGAGAGGATGGCGATTTTTGGTCTACCTTATTGATAAGATCCTCGATAGACTAATTTAAATGCAAGTATGCTTATTTATATCCGTCGGATCTTGCTATTCTGTCGAACCAGAAAGGCAAAAAAATGTTGTTTAGGGTGAATTTCAGCTTACTTTTAAATGTACATAATAACTGTTCATTCACTAATAAATATACCCCATCAATATATCTAAGAGCACATCGTCAAGTGAACAAGTCTTTCCAGACAAAATAATTGACATATCCATCATCGAAGCAAAAATAATGATTTGCACTTTATGTGTGAGGAATAAGGAAATATGAATGGATAACTTATTGAGTGCTATTTTCTTGATCACGCGTTCGACATTCATTAAGTATGTGCTCCATCATTTTTATTTATATAATATTTTTATTACCCCTCCATTCATGCACCTTGAATAAGGATTCAACTTTTAATCGCATCGACCGCATTGTGATGGCATTCATCATGCTCATGATTTGGTTTTTATAATATACATTTTTTATTATGGCAAAACGCAAGTTATCTTCGAATTCATATATCTTTGAAGAATATATAGCAACTTTTTAATTTTCAGTTAATTCATAATTATAACCAAAATATATTTTTTCACCAATTCGATGGAATTCAGTATCTGTGTGAGAGGAATAAGCATTACAGCATTTAATGAATATGTCGCAGCAGTGAAGGCGATCCAGAAGAATCGTTGACTCCCCTGGTAAAGATTACGATCCTTATCCCTTGTAGGAGAGATGAAACTTAAATATGGAAATAATATTTTAGGATTTGTAAAACATATTTATTTCATTTGTAATTTCTATTCTATATTTTGGTGGAAATGATTTCATTTGTGTGTTCATGTAAGTAAATGTGGATCAATGTTTTACTTATTTTTATCTATGTATTATATATTAATAACAATTTGATACTGGACATAACTAAAATAGTTTGAATAGCATCGTCATGCCATCTCCAAATTGAAGTCGTCATCCCATTCAAGATATAACAATTCTGATCTCTTCTAGCAGAGATGTTTATTCTTCTCGTATATATCAAGATTGTAGTCACTCCTAGGAGAGGATACGATCGTGATCTCTACCGGGAGAGTCAACGACTCTACTAGATCTCCATCTCTACAGCGACAAATACATCTAACTGCTGTTCAAATTGACTTTTCCAATTTTGGAGTCGAAACTAGTTTCTCATCAATGAGAGTTGAAATGCTAACATAATGTGCCAATGGCCTACGGTTTAAAAAAATGTTATTTTATTTTATAAAAGATCCACTGGCAGTATTGCATATTTGTATATTCTGCATCCCTAGGGCAAATGGATTTGCAACTTTAATATGTCATTATTTTTGCATGTAGAGTCCGCGGGCCAGTAGACGCTTGATTTGAGCCCCAAACTTGATAAAAGTTGCGTCTGACAATGGTTCATAGGCGGTAGGTTTGGATCCTTACCTATAAATATTCCTCATAAGCAAGGTTTATGTTTTACAAAGCAAATTAATGTATACACACTTATAAGATAGACAGGAAAGACAATTTAGTGTTTTTAGTGGTAAACAAAAATAAACATTATAGTTTCAAACTATTTTTATTTGTATACAGACTAACCATACATATTTGAAATGCATTTCTTATTAAATAATATATTTCTTTCTCATTGAGGGAACTAAGTATGGTACTATCAAAATGATTATTTCAAGAGTCAGAAAGCTACGAAGGTGTACAAGAAAAAGCGACCTTGGCTTATAAAGGCTTATAATATTCATAACATTTATGAAACACAGTTTTAAATTATGAAACATAATCTCCTCTTTTCAGGGGTTGATGCCCTCTTCTCCAGATGTAAGATTCTCACCATCCAAGTTCTTCCTTGATCTCTTGATTAGATAGTCCAGATGTCGAGGAAGATTCAGATACAGTACATTTCATTTTTTTATTTCAAATTTCATCCACTATCTTGCTGAGTAATATCCAAATCAAGAGGTAGAAGCAATATATCATGGGTCTGCATTTCCGCGGCTAAAGTGTGGTAGCTAAGATTGATCCAAGTTGTTGCGCTCCACCAAATCTCTCCGAATAGAAAAAAATAAGCACGAACTCGTTGGAAGTATTGGTCTATGCTTTTAACTTGTCATGATTTCGAACCAAAACATGCATATTTCACTTTTATTCCTCTGTGAAACTTTAGTTTTAAGACATTATTTGACAAAGCATGCGTTAAATATATTTTGACAGCGACTATCTATATGATTCAATTGAGGTTTTCTGTCAAATAACTTACTAAATACATATAATAAATGATAAAGAGTTATATTCTCTCTTCTAAAACATGTATATATACAATTTTTCCATAGAGGCC